CGAGCCGACCATCTGGGCTCTGAGTAGACAGCAGGATGGGAGGGGGCCCTCGGCTACGGAAGCTGGTTGGGGGCACACAGAACCAGAAGCGGTGCCCTGTCCCTGGCTGGAGGGGAGAGCGAGGGCAGTGCTAGCGTTGGGGCTCAGGGGGAGCAGAGCGCCACGGCATGGCACCCTCCACGTGGCCGGCGGCAGCTGCACTGCCTGCTTACTGCACAGGGTTCTGCAGGGGCCTGGGAAGCACCATGGTCCCAACTTCACCTTCCAAATACAATGCCAGGCTGGGCTGGGGCTTGGCCTGCCAGGCTGCTGATGGGCACAGAGTACCACCTGTGTTCCCGGGCTTCTTGGGGAAGTAGCCACCTCCGGAGGTGAGGTCAAGTGGCCAAAGGAGAAGACTGGAACCTGGGGTGATGCCCACGTCCGCCCTTTAGGAGAGAGCAGCCAGGCTCATCTTTCTCTGCGCTCCGTGCTCTGCAGGGTCCTGCAGAGGCTCCCCGAGGCTCTGCGCCCACCATCGCGCCTCTCTGCGTGCTTCCTGTGAGAATGACATGAGCTGATGCTGTGCCCCACGCAGCGCCTGGCACGTGATGGGCGGTCAGTGAGTCGTTGGTAAGTGACAGTGAATTAGTGCTTAGATGACTGTATGACTCTGGTAAGGGGGGCTCAGAACCTGACCTGGGCTTTAGCCTCCAAGTGCAGGTTCTGCTCATGCTGACACCTCTTCCCACTGCCCCGCAGGCTGGCCTCTGCAGTGAGGGAGGGTGTGGGCACAGGGCAGGGAGGAGCCAGGCTGGCTACGGTGCCTGCAGACTGACAGCTTCGGGCAGCTGAGCTCTGGAGGGGTCAGCACTGCCTCTGGAGTGTCCCCGGGAGCTGGGGGGCCCGGGGTGTGAGGCTGGAACGAGTCAGGGAGGAGAAGCCTCAGGGGTCGTGGTGCAGAAACAGCGGCCTGTTCCCTCTCTCCTGAGCCCTTTTCTCTGAACACATCGCTGCTTCTCTGCCGGGGATTAGCACACATCCCTCATTCTCCTAGTGCAACAAGATTTTATTTCTAATTATGCTGTAATAAAGCGGGGAGCTCCCAGCTCCCTTTCAAATGACTTGTACACACACCGCCGATCGGATCCTCCCTGGCCCCATTGTAATAGCATTTCCCTGACAGTCATTAGACATGCATGAGAGGGGCCCTTTAAGAATAGAATTGCATTTAAATGGATTTGCTGAGAGAGGAAGATGAAAAAAAGACAGACAAGGGGGAGCGGGAGAGAGGTCTGTTGAACAAACTACGAAAACAAGAGGCCATAATAGCAGGGCACGGAAATAGCCTCTCCCAGTCCTCCCACTGCACGTGCGGGGCCCAGCAGGGCGGCACCTCCAGCCTCCCCCGCCCCCTCCCCCATGCTGCCCGCTGGGGGCTTCAGAGCTCTTCGCTCATGTGTCAGATGCTCAGGGTGCGATAGAAATCACTGTTATTAGGATTTGGGAAGCTGCCTGGCTTGGACAGAACACCCATACCCGGTGCGGGCAAGGCCCTGGGTCCATGGTGCCCACCTGCCCGCCTGCCCAGCACTCAGCCTTGAGGCCTGGCCCTATCCTTCTGCTCCTCTTCTTAAATGACCCCACCCCCAAGACCCACCTCAAGGAGGAGGAGAGCCCAGCTGACCCCAGAGCCCAGCCCACTTCCTGCTAAGATCCCTGCCCCCACAACCCAGCACCTCGCCCCCCTCAGCTGGCAGACTCCCCGGGCTCCCCAGGCGAACCACAAAGGGCCTATGCCAATGGCCTACCTATGAGGCGTCCGTATCCACCTGCAGCCTCATTTAATTCATTCCCCACTAACGTAGATCCTTTGAAATGGACATTGATTACACCACATCTCATGGCTTCCCGTTTTTCACAGGACAAAGACCCAAATCCTTAACAGCAGGCAAAGCCAGTCCCTTCCCCTGGCCCAGCAGCCCCTCTCTGGCACCTACCCCCTCCCTAAGCCTTCCGGCTGCTCAGGCCCCTTCCATCTCCTCCTTTCCAAAGCCCCCCCCCCCATCAGTGTCTCTGTCTCCTGTCCTCTTTCCGTGTACATGTGGCACAGCTACGAGACGTACAGCTATGATGAAGCCCATACCGAGTCCCCGAAGGCCTGGCGGGCTCCTGGACGGTGAGCCCGGTGTGGGTCCTGGCATTGCTCTGGGCCCACCCCGCTCTGTGCAAAGGCTCAGCGCAGTGGCTTGTGTGCCGGGCCCTGCCAGGGCCTCTGCCCCCTGATTTCCTGCCCCATGCCTGCTGCAGGCTGGTGGGGTGGACGGCCTTGCTGCCCCTGACAAGGAGGAAGCTGAGAATCAAAGCTCAGAGCAATTCGCCCCAAACACAAAGCCGGGGCTGCCTCGGCCAAAGGCGCACTTTTGCTCTGCTGCTTCCTACTGCCCTGCACCCCTCAGGCTCCTTCCTGGGGGCCCCTCAGCCTGCGTCCTCTGGAAGGCTTTTGAGAGCTGGCTTGCACATCCTCCTTCTCCGGGTCAGACCCTCCTTCTCCTGGGGGACTGGAAGGGCCTCAGGCTCACATTTGGATTGTTTCTGCCTGGTCCACAGTCTACGGTCCACGGTCCACGGTCCACGGCCCATGGTCCACGTGACTCCCTCTCAGATTCCCAAGAAGAATGCAAGTCCCTCAAAGTCACCACATGTCACTCTTCTGAGCCCGATGACCCGTGACCCTGTGGCCAGGCTGTGGCCTGCAGCGTGTGGCTGGAGGCCGTCCTGGGAGGAGCCCCCTGAGCCCGGCCTCCGTATTGGTAAAGTGGTAACTGTGACCAGGGAGCCGCCGGAGAGGCCGGGCCACACGGGCACTCGTTTCTGTCTCGCCCCGTTCCTTCCTGTGGTGTCTCTGGCGACACTGGCTGAGTATAGACAGGAATGAGAGCGCGGCTCCCACAGGGTCCCAGGAGGGGGTGTGGCTGAAAGCTGAGGCGCTGTGACCCCTCGAAGCACCTGATGTGGCCGTGGAGGCCCTGCCTCTGTCCTGTTGGCCTTCTAATGTGTCACCTTCCCACCCAGAGGCCTGCCCCACTCAGAGGCCTCAGGGTCCACAAGCTGTTCCCTGGACGGGTGGCCACAGCCCCCAAGGCCAGGAGCAGCCGCAGGCCCATCTGCCTCGCCGCCCAGCCTCCAGCACAGCCGACAGCTCAGAGCCTCAGACTGTGGGTGAGACGTGGTCTCCGTGAGGGCGGGCTGTCCGCCTGCCCACTGCTCTGGGCTTAGTCTGGGGCACAGTCCCGCCTGTGGGGGCTCAGGAAGTGCTGGTGGATGAAGGGATGAGGGGTGCGTGAAGGAAGCTGAGCCTTCCCCCTCAGGTGAGCACTTGGGCCCTGAAGTCAGAGTTTGACTCAGGTTACCTGACGGCTCTGACTCAGGTTCCTCATCTAAAAATCGAGCTAAGAATGCCCCGAACACACAGATTTGCAGTTGCCACAAAGCCACTCCCTGGCCCGGTGCCTGCACAGTGCCTGCTGATACACGGGAGCCCTCGCTGCTGTCACTTCTGCTGAGGAGCCGCGAGGGACACTCTCTGAGCCCCACTGCCCCCCTTCGAGCCGTAAAACCCGCGAGGCTGCTCACGAGGCAGAGGCAGCTCCACTCGGAACATCCACCTGTTATTGACGGGCCAATCAGAGGGACTGGACGGCACATGGGCCACGCCTGCAGGGGGCTTACGGGGAAGGCCGCCACCTTGTGCCTATCAGCGCCCCGAGGCTGCTTGAGCGATGATGTGACTACACCGCTCTGCCCCAGCCCCAGCCCCAGCGGCCCAGGCCCGTGCACTCCCCCTCCGCCAGCACAGTAGCCCAGCAGGCTGGCCTCTCTTCACCCTCAGCTTGTGGAATCTGGACCCTTAACCCTGCTTTCACGATAGATACACTTGCTTTTATCATTGATTTAAAAATGTGCTGGTGGCTTGTCTTCCTTGGTGGCTCTGTTACCCCATCTCACAGATGAGGAACCGGCTGGGGTTCGGGGATTTGCCCAAGGTCAGGGCGCTGGAAAACAGCACACGTGGGACTTGAGCCCGATGGTCTTA